GAATGCGGAAAACATCACGGCTGTGGGAGCTCCGGGTTGTGGGAGGGGAAAGGGACCAGCATGGAGCCAGCAGCCCTTTCAAGAGAAATGACCACTATTAAATTTGCTGCAATAAATGCAAATGAAGAAGTAAAAGCAGCACACATCCAGGCCAGTGTGCTGGCAGGGCCCTCAGACTGCAGGAGAAGACTCTGCTCTCCTCATCCTCCTCCTCCTTGTCCTCCCCACCCTCCAGCATTTGGCCATCTTCTGCAATCAGCCAGATATTGCTGCTTCGCTGGCTTCCATGTGATGCTGGATAAACCAGCAGATCAGTCCTATCTACAGTTCTTCACTCTCAGATTTCAGTAGGAATTAAACTCAAATGGGAAAAGGATTTAAACACTTTTTCAGGTCTCTTGTGCTCCACAGCCTAGAGAAATATCCTCCTGTCACCTCTGAGTCAGCCTCTAGATAACTTCTTCCTGTAGCTGGAAGGCTATTTCAGCCAGGCAGGGCATTATAGAAGTTGGTGATACAACATCCTGCAGCAACCACAACGCCTTTCGCACTTCTGGGAGGATGTCAGCCCAGTTAGCTCAGCCTTTCAGCCAGGCCCTTGTTTTCCAAGAACAGGAAGGGAGGTGTTCCTGGCAGTTGGGAAAAGCAGTTCCACATGGAAAGGTATTTTATTTCACAAAGTTTATGAGGTCTTTACTGAGAACCTCTGTTAATTGTTTCTTAATAACATTCTGAGAAAACCCTGCACCCTAACCTCACCATAGTTACAGGAATGTGCCTCTCCACACAGATGTTCTTTTTCTTCTGCAGGAAATGCAAGGAAATACTTATTTAGTATCACACCCAAAGCAAGCCCCACATTTGCTTCCTGCTGCTACACAACACAGCTGCATAGCATAGTCGACTGAGCTAGATTACATGTCAAAAAGTGTTCAAAACATAAGAAAAACAGGGAAAACTAACACCTGAAGGAGGAGCAGGATGCCAGCTGGTTGCTTTCATGCACGTTGGAGCAGCAGAGCTCTGTCCTGCTAAGGCAAGAAGCTGAGGGCTCATTTTCCATGGCAGTCCTGCTGCCTCTTTCTCAGTCCTCAGAGAACAAGTGAAAAAGGAACTCACAAAGTGAAATCTTTGCAAGACTAAAGAATAAACCCTCTTGCACAATGAGGTTTGGCAGAGGAATTGCCTTTTCCAGCTATAATACTGCCACTGTTCCAGCAGCCTGGGTCTCACAGTCGCTCTGCCATCGCTTCCACAAACATCCACCGTGTCTTTTCCGGGGCAGTGTGAGGAGCCACAAACGGAGGATTCATAGCCAGGGAGCTGCCAGCCAGCTTGGCCTCTTCCCAAATGAAGGGGTCCCATGTTCAAGCAAGAATTCCCAGAGCCAGGAGAAAGTACGTTGTCTGTTTGTTTGGGGTTTGGTGGTTTTTTTTAAATGAAATAAGATTAATCACTTGGGAGTTGGTGGATAAAAGGAGCTCTCAGCAGATGCAGGAAGCTGCTGCCCCGATGGACAAGGAAGAACGTTAGCCCCAACAGTTATGAGGACACAGGGCTCAGAACATCAAAGCTGGAACAATGTGAGGCTGTGAACGAGCCCTGTGCTGTTTGCTCTCCCCAGGTAACTTGGGCACTGAGTTACCTCTCTGGCAGGAAGTGGTGAGCGTTCCGAAATTAGGTCATGGTACAGAGGCTGCTGAGTGCAGACAGACAAGGGAAAAATTGATAATTGAAAACAGTTACTGACAAAAGACAAAATGCAGAGAGAGGAAGGCAAAGGCATACATAAAGAAAATCATACTAAAGCAAGACCCAGGCTAAAGTCAGTGTCTGGTTCTTAGGCCTCGCTGTGCATATAAATGAGGCTTTGTTCACATGCAGAAATGGCACAAGGTTAACAAAAATTAATTGAAAAAGATTCAGGGTTCTGAGCTGAATCCATAAAAGCTTTTGATGGCCACTGCAGCAGATGCAAGCAGATTACTCTGGCCATCTTGTTTGGGACGTAATCTATATCACAATGATTTAATGAGTATCGATGCTACAGAGCAAGTTTAAAAACACATTTAGTAACTCATCTTGTAAACAGAAACTCAGAGAAGATAAACGACAATGAATTTACACAACAAAACCACAAGATGCTACCCCAGATTTCCTCTTGGAAACCAAAAGGAAAGGCCTGAGACTATTGTCCACCTCCTCCTCCTGCTATGCTTTTTGAAGGCTAAATTGCAAGTGTTGGAGAATTAAGAAGCACCTGACAAGGGAACCTGGAGCCCCACCACCTACAAAAAGGTGAAGAACTACCTTCTGTGAGGAAAACATCACAGAGGAGCTGTGTAAGGGCCCTTTTGAGCACAGGTAACCTCATGATTTGAGACAAGCTGCAGTGCCACACTGTCAGCAACCACTGAGCATCACAAGCAACGAGAAACCAGCTGCAGGGAAAGACTTCTGGCTAGCCAAAATGACACACGTAAATCTGCAGGAGCACTCAGTTAAACCTGGCAGACAGCCACCAGTGCTGCTACATGTTTCCTGCATGGTTTGCCTGGTGCAAGAGGTAGAACATCTCAACCTCAACCCTGGGGAACAGTTTGAGCTGAAGGCAAAACTTCACATGAGACCCAGCTGAAATGCCTTCCCACAAACTCATATTACTTTTGAGGCTGAAGAACTGGAATTGCACCACGAGCATTAGGGCTCAGGTGGTTCTTGCCACACACCACATCCTTCTGCAGGACACACCCTGGACCTTCTCATTCCATTTTCATGCAATCAACTGTTCTCACCTAAGTGTCATTCTCTGCATTTCTCCTTACTGACCTGCATCAGATTTCTTTCAGCCCATTGGGTCAATCTGTTGAGTTTGTTTTGGTTCTAATCCAGCTCTTCAAAGCTCTCGAACCCGTTCCCAGCTCAGTACTGTCTGCAAATTCAATAAGCACATTCTCCATTCCATTGTCCAAGCCAAAACAAGGAACTTACTTGATAAATTCTTTCAGCTGAACAGTGAGCCACTGTCAAGTTCCCTGGCAATGGTTTTCCAGGCAGTTTCATATTAATTTTTATAGTATCAGTTTCTCCTTGCACTGTGGACTGTAGGTCTCTTGCAGGAAGGGCTTGCAGAACCTCAAGAACTCTTTATTTCAGGCTTTCAACTTATAGAAGTATCATGAAAATAGTGCAGTCTTAAAAACATCATGAGTTCTTGCAGAGCTAAGAGGGATGCAGCAACAGGATTGGAGAGCTTAGAGCAGCCCTGGAAGGGTTAACTACCCTGACTGCTGTGGTGAGCAGGAAATGCTTACACAAAACTGGAATTAAGCACTGGCTCTTCTTTTACTTTGACAGACATGAAGGAGCCCCAAAGGGTGTTGAGATACTGGGCTGGAGAATATTTCTCAAGCTGACTTCTGAGAAATTCTAAACTCTAACAAGCCTTGGTAGAGGCAAAGTGTGTGATATCCACTGCTCCTTCTCACCTGAGGGGTAATTAGATTAGCTGGACATGGCAAATACCTATAGTTGGATTCTTCTAGGTGTTACAAGCAACTAATTTGTTCCAGTATTCTCCTAGGAAATAAAGCTGGGCTGGATGGGTTGCATTCCCGATTTCTTCCTCCTTGCACACCCTGAAGTTTTGCTTGAAGCACCAGTTTGTTCTGACACAGGAATGCAGAGAGCTGTGCCAACCTCCCCCGTCACTTATCTCCAGGTGCTCCCCTCAAAGCTCCTCTCCTACTGGACTCTTCCTGCATGGAGCCACTCTGCAGTCCTCACCAGTCAGGAGGAAAATGCCCCAACTGTACAGATCTGGGCAACACTGGCAACTGTCAGATGAATGTGTCCATTATAAATTATATTTCCTTATTATGAGACTCTGTGGAAATATTATCATGCTGTATTTCAAAGTCAGCAGATCAATCCTTAGCTGTGAAAGCTGAATCCAATCACACTGTAACCCAAACCCAGCATTTTGCCTCTGACACAACACATCTGACTGGTGGGAGCATTCAGGTATCAGGATGAACAGGTGCTTTGTGGACCTCCCTGCCAGGCACATGCCAAAGTCTCCTC